ATAGTAATAAAAGCTAAGTGTATTTGAAAGGTTAAACATAGCTTTTAATACCTTCAAATTCAAAAAATCTGTGTCTACTCACTATTACAGACAAATATTCAAGATTTCAATTCGAATGACAAACATATTTTCATAGAGGATCATCATTTATGCCCCATGAATCAAAGATACATTTACAAAGTAAAGGCTACAAGTCGAACAACATCGTATATTACGCAAGGAAATGGGAAAGTGGAACGGTTAAACAGCACGCTGTGGAAGACAATTCAATTGGCTTTAAAAACAAAAAAATATGATATAAGCCAATTGGAGAGGGGTGAGTGGTGAGGGTGAGGCTATTGTACGGCTAGTGTACAATAAATAGTATGTGTATAAAATTGTAATTATATATATTTATGATGAAGTATATTTAGTTTTGCCATATTCTTTATGATAGACACTAAAAATCTTGTATGTCATTTTAGCGTTACTACCCGTAACTTGTACTCAACCACCAAAGGTTAACTGGAAGAAAATGCTATTTAGCATTAAGTTCGCCTTTGTACAAACTTCTAGTAGGTACAATAAAGAATATACAAACAAACAAACTCTGTACAGCTGCTAATGTAACACCTCACGAAAGAATTTTCTGCCATAATCGAAGATCAGAAAACGGTTCAACATTACCAGCGTGGTTGATGGTGGAAGGCCCAGTGTTTGCGGCCAGAATTTAAAAGATTATGTTACTAATTTTACTAGATAGGGTGAATGATATAATACTAGTAGAGCTACGCAGCAGCCGCGACTGTTGCACGAATGCGCAGGCTCCGGGCTCCGGGTAAGTACCACGACCTGACAGGAGAACGGCGTGAAGTGGAAGTATAATACTTCCGCGTTTCGTCTGGTGAGTGAGGTGGCCGGAGCCCAATTTTCAAAAGGTTGTCAACGCATCTGCAACCCTAGGGAGTAGCAAATGTCCATGGGTAGCGGTATTCACTTAACATCAGTTGAACCACCTGCTCGCTTGGCAAATTTTCACATTTAAAAAAATACTAGCCATTTGCCATAAATGTAAATATTATTTTGAAAATAACTGTGAATGTTCTTTATTACAATTACGAATTAAGAACTTACGAAGAATTACGAATCGATCTTACAAATGAAAATATTTTCTGCTTAATTTATTAAATTTATTAAGCCTAATATCTAGGTTTTGTATTATTAATTTATCATATTGTTAAATGTAAACAACATTGACGTTCGCGTAATACAATTAAAACGATAGAAAAAAGGTGACTAATGAATTAATCAACAAGTAGAATTCGCCGGTCGCCTATAGTTTTCGAGATAAAAAAAAATTAATCTTGTCAGTCGACTTCAACTACTAGAAACTACTAGAAACTAGCCATCGAATATACTGCTCTACCATGACTGTTTTAGAAGGTACATAATAATTCGTAAATTTAGAACTTTGCAGCGTAAATAGTTCTGTTTATGGTCTATATATTTCATGTGTCAACGCGTAGTTTTCACCTACAGATAAGAATTCATTCATTTGGTTAAACTGAGCCTGTGAATGTAAGGTGTTTTTTATGTGAAAAGCTTTAAAAGCTAGCAGGTGGTTCACCTGATGTACAAAACCTCGCCGGTTGCAGACGCGTTGCCAACAATTGAAAAAGACAGCTCGGCTACCCCAACCAAAGCAAGCTCTACAAAAAAGAGCTGTTCGAGCAATTTATAATATCGAAGCCCGGAGTTCACTCAGAGATCTTTTTAAAGAGATTAATATACTCACTGTTACTTCTCAGTATATATATAGTAATATTTTGTATACACAAAATCATAAACTTAATTATTACCTAAAGAATACTGACAGACATAAATTAAACAATAGAAATAAGGACAAACTTACTACGCCATTGTTTAGTCTATAAAAAGTAAATAGGTCGTTCATGGGGCAAAGTGTGCGCATGTATAATATATAATAAAATCCCACAGTCGATATTAAGTCTGCCGCTTGATCAATTTAAATGTAAAATTAATAGTCAACTTATGTTTAAAGCTTACTATACCACTGCGGAATATCTCGGCGACGCCAATGTGTGGAGTTAATACTGTCGATACTCACGTAGGCTAGAATAAGACTAATATACCTGTATATTGGATTGTAAACTGATATTTACGAAAAAGAGCGACTGTTGAGTTTCTCGCCGGTCTCTTCTCAACAGAAACTGCTTTCCGAAACGGTGGTACCTTACGAACGTATATTGTATATATTTATATGTAACATTTGATGATTCATAAGAACGCGCAAGCGTCTTTTTGAATAAAGATATTTGATTTGATTTAAAGGAAATGAACCTTATGTGAGGCCGTTAATTGTCTACTGAATAAGAAAATTCTTGGGGCTAACGACAGTGTAGAAGATAGTGACGCGGAAAATGTAGAGCGATGCGCAGAAATGAGGGTTAATTGTGTTGACATCATGTTTGTCGACGGTTTTAGGTTTGAAAGCTAATTGATTACAAACGTTATCGATTTTTTAATTTAATTAACTTATCTCATGTCCCCTATTACTAATACTACAAAAGGCTGAAAGTAATTTCTTTGTTTTCACGTATATATCTTTGATTGAAGACTTTAGTGTGTTGCCAGTGATGACCTACGGAACCGAGACGTGGTCCTTCACTGCTGGCCGTATGAGGAAGCTCAAAGTCGCTCAGCGAGCTATGGAGCGGGCTATGCTCGGTATTTCTCTGCGTGATAGAGTTCGTAACGAAGACATCCGCAGTAGAACTAAGATAACCGACATAGCTCAGAGGATTAGCAAGCTGAAGTGGCGATGGGCCGGCCATATAGCTCGTAGAACCGATAACTGTTGGGGAAGAAAGGTTCTCGAGTGGCAGCCTCGTACTGGCCATCGATGTGTAGGACGACCCCCCACTAGATGGAGTGACGCCCTGTGCAAATGTGCGGGAAGTCGATGGATGCAGGTGGCTCAGGATCGTGCTTCATGGCAGTCTGTGGGGGAGGCCTATGTTCAGCAATGGACTCAAACAGGCTGAAATGATGATGATGATGATGATATATCTTTACATATTATATAATCCTACTGTACGTGTGTTGTCACTGAGCTCCTCCTAAACGGCTGGACCGATTTGAATGATTTTTTTGTATGCATTTTGGTGGTTTACATTCATAATTCATTTTATATAATAATTTTTACAAAATATTTATTATTCTTCTGATGTTGTATATCAAAAAAAATTGTATAACAAAATATTAGCCACAAATTCGACACGCTCTGCTATCGTACCTTCCTTACAGCGAAAAAATCATTTATGATGTGAAACATCTATAGCCGCACGTAAAACCGTAATTCCTGGCGTGGCGACGCATGCCGTGGCGACGCGTCGCCACGCTATATGATGATATATGTATACAGTCTATATGCAGTAGTGTGTACGATTAATTACTCTTAATTGTTAATAATTACTAATTAATTAAATTAACTTTAATTAATTGTGTGTACTATTACCGAAGTCACTGATTAAACGAGTTAAGTAGTCACGATTTGAAATAAATTCGTAAATTTTTGTATTTAATGAAATTAAATGTTTATTCAATGAATAGTCATCGTTATCTGGAAAAAAAAATCGTAATATTTTATTTTATCATTATGACATATTTAGTTCCTATCACAATCTGTTCTTTTCTGCATATTACTTTTACAAAATAATGTCGATGTTTCACATCTGCCAGGCGTCCCGTGACGGCTCACATTTTTTTTGAAGCTCTACTGTTATCGCACTGGCCGACTTTTTTTGTACAAACACATTTAAAAGCATCCTATTGGCTATCGTTTCCGCGTCACTGTCTCAAGTCGTACGAAATGTTCAAACGGTTCTCGCCTTTAAGGTGCTCAGCCGCCAGTGACCCTGACTGTACTTCTATATGGGGAAGCGTTAGACCCGATTGACTCGAATGTATTCCTTGGCATAACTGTAGATGCCAAATTGCTGCAAAGTGAGGCCCCCATATTAATAAACTGGCGACTAGATTTAGCTCAGCAGTGGCTCGTCTGGTATATTTTAGTTATTTCCACAGTATAATGTCTCATGGCATTCTACTTTGGGAAAATGCGGCTAACATAAGCACTATCTTCATCCTGCAAAAGAGAGCTTTTCGAGCAGTTTATAACCTGGGCCCCAAAGAATGATAAAAAAAATTGTTTAACGAAATAAAAATATTGACTGTAGCTTCTCAGTACATACTTGCAAATATTATGTATGTACATAGAAATAAGAATGACTTTTTAAGATTTAGTAATGTGCATGATGTAGATATAGGAACAAGCATAAATTAGTTCTACCCTCAACTAGATTGCGTTGAATAAGTAAATCTTTTACGGGACAATGTATACAATTTAACAACAAAATTCCAGAAAAAGTTCAAAATGAATCTGTTGCTAAATTCAAAAAAACTTGTAAAGGAACGTTTGTTTGTTAAAGACTATCACAGTAGGAGTGATCACTCCAGGATCTTTCAGTCACTTTTTTATATTTTATTTGTAATATATTCATGTTACACCGTGATGAAAAAAATAATAACATTATGAAAAAAATATGAAAGCCCGTTGAGTTTCTTTCGCCGGTTCTTCTCAGTACAGTGGTTTTCTTTTCCGAACCGGTGGTAGTATTTTGACAAAAAGGCAAAGAAAACCAGTGGTCGTTATAGTAAAATGTTTTATTTGATAATTTCTTGTATTCACTCGATTATACATCATAAATGAAACAATTTTTACGGAGTCATCGCGTTTATTTTTAGTTCTAATCCCCGACGTTTCGAGCCCTTTACAGCGTTCATGGTCACGGGATAAATCCGTAAAATCAGTTTCATTTAAGCTATTTTTTTTATCTTATTTTATTCTCCATCACAATACTGGATCCGTGTCAGCTAAAAAAATCTTCAATGATTCTGGTGCCGGTCCTTAAGGGAAGAATACCCACATTCTTTTTCTATGAAATGACGTCCTGTGGACAGAGAGAGGTCTACGTTTGGTCTCTTCCGAATTACGCCTCAGATTTACAGGAAAAGTTCTCTTACGAAAAATGTGTACAAAAGAAAAAAAGTAAGAAACCATTATTATTTTACTTTGCCGTTAATGATGAAAAATATTGCACCTCCGCCCGATTTTTACAGTATTCTTACTGTATATACGTACATAAATTTCACCTGGACAAACACCCAGATCAAAATTGTTAAATGTCGGTTACAAAAATAGTTGTCCCGTGCGGAGAACCCAGGGATCCCCGGCGTTAAAGTTAATACTTTGGCAACTGCGCCACGGAGTCATCAAAATTTATATGTCAGCAATTTAAGGATTCTGACACTGCTTTTGCCGCGATTAAAAATCGCTAAACGGAACGTTGTTTATATGAAGTCAAAGTCTTAGGAACGTACATCCGCAGGTAGATTAAAACCTCGGACTCTGGTTGTTTCGTAATTTAACGAAACGGCATTATGGACCAAAGGGACACAAGCGCGAAATTCCTCCGCGACCATAACGTAGATATCTTTCCAGTGCAAGAGACTTTCTTGAAACCTGGCGTACGCTATCCCAGAATCGCAAACTAAGCGAAAATCGATTATGCAAATCGAGCGAAAGCAAGTCTCCGAAAAACTATCACTTCCGCAGTCGCAGTTTCGGAACGGACCGTGAAACTGTCGGGCGACCGACGGTTTAACTTTCCGCCTATAGGTTAGGCGGAAAGTTAATAAGCGGCTGCTAATTAGACAAAAAAATGTAGCCAAACGGGCTTTCGACCGATACCGAAACCTACTTTGACGCCGACACCGACATACCGCGTCGGACACTCTACTAGAGGGCATCGAGCCAACGCACACCGCCTGCTGGCGGTTGGCCCACAGTCTGAAAGCCCCCTTCGAATTTCTACGGCTGTTAGCAATGCCTAATAGCGCTTCAGTATCCCTAAATGACTCCGAAAAAGTCGAATGTTTTGCGGACAAACTAGAGCAGCTATGTACGCCATCTCGCGAACACACCGATACAGCCCACCTAACGGAGGTGGACCGCGTAATCAAAACTAGGGCTGTGCTTCCACCCCTCCGAACGTGTTCCCGGGTTGACGTGGCAGAGGGGCTTAGTAGCCGTGGCTTGGTCACCCACGGTGAAGCTAAGAGGATCCCACACTGGGCCAGCCTGTGGTGTAAGGCCTGCCCGAGAGGGCCGCTCCTAGTGGGATCATTGAGCCCACTCTGGATGCGTGCTGGAAGGTACAGGGGACAGGTTAAGGGTAGTGGAGGAGGAGCCACTCTCTCTGTCTTGTGCTATCGAGGAGTCGCGGGGGACGAGGAGTGCTGGTATTGCGTTTGGTCACTCACCCTATCCTCCGCGACTCGGCGGGGCTGCGCCGCTGATGCAGTGGTGGTGGGGCCGCGGGGAGAGATGAGTGTCGGTATTGCGATGCGTTCTCCCTATCTCCGTGGCAGAAACGTGGTAAGCAGGGAAGCCACAGACCAGGTCTGCAACTGGGGGCTGAGAGGCTTGCTGCTTATTGGCACTGGCTCTGGCTAGCCCACCGGTTCTGCGTCAGATGAAACTTTAATAGTCTCGGGGCTGAAAGCACAAACATCATTTAATACGTGATACAAATTGAAATGTACCCCCCTGACTGAATGAAACTATGTGAACGGATTTATCGCGTTAATTTTTAGTTTTATTTTCCGACGTTAAAACCCTTTACAGCGTTCATGGTCATGGATCAACAACATTTAGATGGAGTACGACAAGATATTTCATACTTGTTACGTCGAAGTTTGGTGCTGAAATCTAACCTTCCTAAACACGAAATTAACGCGTTAAACAACTCATGGTTCTTAATGGAAAATTACTCACATTGAATCTCAATGGAGAGTCGTCCGATGAAAAGAGGTCCTGTGGATAGAGAGAATTCTGCGTTAGGTCTCTTTCGAATTAAGTCTCAGATTTATAGGGAAAATTCTATAATATTTGTACAGGAGAAAAAACTTACCTGAAATTGTTATTATTTTTCTACGCAGATAATGATTAAAAGTACATCTTTGCCAGATTATACAACTACATTTGCGAAAGCTAGCAAAATAAGAATTCTGACACTGCTTTTGCCACGATTAAGAATCGCTAAATGGAACGATGTTTTCATGAAGTCTATAGATATGGGGTTCATCCTATATGGGGGATAAATTGTAAGTGGAAATTAACTTTTGAACAATAACTGACAATATCAAAGATTATAATGCGTTGTAAGCCCACCTAAAAGAAAATGTTCACAATATGCCAAATGTCAAAATACCACCCTGTAATTTTGAGGTGTTCACTGCTCGTATTGTTTCATTGATGCGTGTCGAAATTCATGCAAAGTTCATTGAATGACTCTAATTGATTGTTTTATGGATGGGAGTCCAATCCTAGTCCAATGGTGTCAGTCAATGGTCCATACATGAATCAGCTACCGCGCCAATCGTGTCTTAATGTGTGGTGCCGTCGATTCTTACATCGTCTGGCTTAGTAGCTGAAGCGGGTGGCTATTGAATTAAAAACTTACGAGGACCGCTTCCAAGAGGCTGGTATCTGAAAACGGGAAAACGAATTGAAGGCGTTAACCATTTAATACGTAACCATTTGTAGCATTATGTTGGGTAGACATACATTTACGTTGATAAAAAAACATAGTTAACTTGAATGGAATCGAACCGACTTTATGCCATTTACTACATATTCCCAAACAAGACCAGAGTTGAGCTTGCTGTGGTTGTTGCGCGTACCACACACAAGAGCCCTGTAGACGATTGTCTCTACATTTTTTGTGATATCGATGTAAAACAGTTGTCTTTGAAAAAACCCTCATTATCATTCTCCCAATCAATGCCAAAGCCCCAATAACACCTAGGTAAGGTCAATATAAAATTTGAATCGTGTTTTTAGTGTTGGCTAGGTTTTATACGATCACAATGGCAGAAAAGAAAGTCATACACATTCGTTTTTGCTTTGTTTTGAAAATAATCCAGACAGCTTCAAATGTTAGAATCTGTGGTAAGAAAATTAAAATTTTACCATTGTCGCCTCGCAATGCAGAAATCACTTGGCTGTTCTGGAAAAAGAAAAAAAGTGTGATTTACAAGATCATAAGAAGAAACGAAAAGTATTGATGGGTTGGTCACCCTCTGTTTGGGCAATACGACAATTACTGGTTTCACTTAGCCACATGCCAGTCAGAGTTGCGGTCGTACGTCACTGAAAACAGTGTATACACCGTGTCTTTACAATCGGGACAATAAATGAACACACATATAGAGGATAACTTTTTAAAATTGTGTTAAACAATTAAATTCTTTAAACATCAATATTTACCGAGTTATTAAATTTTCCAAAACAAACAATTTTAGAACACCCTTACGTATAAAACTGTAACGCAAAGTTCATTTGTAAAGGTCGCAACGCATATGAATGGGTTGAATCAATTTAAAAGAGATAAAACATACTGTTAGAAGGAGAGAATTGTAATACGACGCAGTGGTAACGAATGAAAAAGTCTCGAAGAGAATCAATCAGTTGTAGTTGTATGGATGTTACAAATTTTGTTTCTTTTTTACCTAATTAGTTGGTTTGCAAAAAAAAAATATAAAAATTGTGGATTTTTTAACGTTTATATCTTTTTAAGATTATTGTCAAATAGTGTTAGACGTGTGTTCATTCATTGTTGCGGTTGTAACGACACGCTGTATATGTAATAGTGTGAATAGCCTTCCTGTGTATTAACAATACAGAAATTGCAAAAAATATAATTTTATGACATGCAACACGACGCGCAGTGGCTGTTACTTGAGTGACCACTTGCGCAACTGAGCTATCAGTCCAGTCGAGCGTTTCGGCTTGAACTGTATTGCGCCAAGTTTGTTTGTGGGTCGACCGCCACAACATTTGCGACCCCCGTTCGTAAAATACTCATCAAGGTATCAAGATTGATGAGTTTTTCGTTATCAGGTTAATCTAGGTACACGCGGATGCGTGTTCCTTGATTCCACCGACGACTTCCGCCCCGTAACGAAATACTTACGCGTGGTCACGGAACAGACTAAGTTGTTATATGTCTTGATGTCATAGTTAACCCCGGCTACCGTCAATTATTTTGTTTATTTTTATTCCGATCCACGCAGAAGGAGCTTATGGTATCTTGAGGTCTGGCAGTGTTGGTGTGCTTGGATTTAATTTTATAAATTATGGGATCCCGAGCAGATGATAAACTCCAACCATCTTCTCTATTGAAATTAGGATGTTTCTTTATGTCAATACGAATCATCCTTGGAAGGGATCGGTGTTCTTTTGCGAGGATTTTCGGTTGATCAAATCTAATATAGTGGTTGGGGCGGTCTAAAATATGATCACAAACTGCAGACTTCTTCAACCGTCGGTGCTTCACGTCAGCCATGTGTTCTTTAATTCTGGTTTTAATTGATCGTTTTGTTTGTCCTATATAAGAGAGCCCACAATAGCAGTCAAGCTTGTACACTCCTGGATCTTGTAGAGGGATATTAATGGTAAGTAATTATAAATCGCGTCGTTATTTGGAACCGTTAAATACTTTAATGGGACGTACATCCGTAGGTAGATTAAAACCTCGGATTATGGTTGTTTCGTACTTTAACGCAAACGGCATTAGGGGCCAAAGGGACGCAATCGCGGAATTCCGCCGCAATCATAACGTAGATATCTTTCTAGTGCAAGAGAATTTCTTGAAACCTAGCGTAAGCGATCCCAGAATCGCAAACTGTAACATAGTCCGCAACGACCGGTTAGCCAACCGTGTGGGAGGCACTTACATTTATCATAAATGGTCCTTACACTGTAGCCCGCTTGATTGGGAATTAGTCCAGGTAATTTAGGTAAAATAAAAATATTTCAGAAGCTTTGAAAGACTTGTAACGTGCTTAGTCACAGAGCGGTAACACAATGAAATTAAAAAATAAACTACCTACCAAGATATGTAGGTTACCCCTCACTGGCCATAGGCCGCTTGTACTAGTCTCAGACTACTTCTCGGGGAACAAAACCTTACTACAAAGCGATTTAAAAACGCTACTTAACCTAGGCCCTTCTGTCATAATTGCAGAAGATTTCAACTGCGACCACGGCTCATGGGTCATTCATAGTAGCCATAGCAATAACGAGAGTTACATTCAGATCACAGGCCTGTCCCGTGTAGACTGGGCCAGAACACCGGCGCGGTCCCTCCGACCTCCGGTCTTGAGGTCAAACTCAAGGCCTTGTACCTGCAGGACATCGTCAACGTACCCGAGACGATAGCTACGTTCGATGACGCAAATCGAGCGATAGCAAGTCTCCGCAAAACTATCACTTCCGCAGTCGCAGATTCGGAACGGACGGTGAAACTGTTGGGCGACTGACGGTTTAACTTTTCGCCTGACCTACGGCTGCTAATTAGACAAAAAAAAATGCAACCAAACGGCTTTCGAACGATACCGAATCCTAATTCGACGCCGACACCGACACACCGCGTCGGACGCTCTACTAGAGGACATCGGGCCATCGCACACCGCCTACTGGCGGTTGGCCCACAGTCTGAAAGCAGACCCCCGCGAAACTCTACGGTCGTTAGTAATGCCTAGAAGTAATGCCGCGAAACTCTACGGTCGTTAGTGTTAGAAAAATTGAAAGAAGAACTGTGTCATTACTTCTCAATGCAAGAGATATCGAAGAATAAAGGGCAAAGGTGGATTTAAAATCCGTTTTTAAATGCAGCTATAAATGAGGCAAATTTGGTAATTAAGCTCAAAGAAAATCTACTAGATTTATCAGCCGATGGGATGCTGCAATCAGAATTTAAGTGTGTCAATTTGGATACTTTCGGTTAAAAAGGAAATCAGAATACCCAGAATTAACAACAGAGGCTTTGAAGTGTTTAATTCCATATGCCAACTAGTACTTGTGCGAGTTGACATTTTCATCAATGGCCCAAATAAAACGTAAGGAAGGAAGTCGTTTACATTTCGAAAATGATTTAATTCTCAATGTAGCAAAAACGGATTCACGGTGGGAGAAATTGTTGAACGAAAAACAAGCGCAACCTTCGCATTAAGAGTTCTCAGAAGTTTTTCTTTTATTTATTGTTCATTTGATACAAATGTTTAAGTCTTAAACTAATAACTATCTATGACCAATTTCTCCCATTATGGATCCGTTTTTGCTACATTCTAAAAATATATTTGTAGTTATGATGTAAATATTGTTATTATCGTTGGGAGTGCCTATAAAATATGTAGAATAAAATATTATACAATTTTAATTTCGATATTGTTGTCTGCCTATTTTTTTTTACTACAGTAATTTTCCCAACTGTTTGCAACTCCCCTGTAGAAATTTTGGCGACCCCCAGGTCGCGTAGGTAAGGAGGTTTCGCGACCCTCCAGGGGGTCAAAATACTACTTTCCAGCGTTCATGGTCATGGACCAACAACATTGGCTAGGAAGATTTAGATGGAGTACGACAAGATATTTCATACTTGTTACGTCGAAGTTTGGTGCTGAAATCTAACCTTCCTGAAGACGAAATTAACGCGTTAAACAACTCACGATTCTTAATGGAAAATTACTCACATTTAATCTCGATGGAGAGTCGTCCGATGGAAAGAGGTCCTGCGGATAGAGAGAAGTCTGCGTTAGGTCTCTTTCGAATTTAGTCTCAGATTTATAGAAAAAATTCTATAATATTTGTACAGGAGAAAAAACTTACCTGAAATTGTTATTATTTTTCTACGCAGATAATGGTTAAAAGTACATCTTTGCCAGATTATACAACTATATTTGCGAAAGCCAGCAAAATAAGGATTCTGACACTGCTTTTGCCACGATTAAGAATCACTTAATGGAAAGAACTCCTTTATCGAGAGACAAGCTGCTACAGATTATTAAACAGATTATCGATATACATAGAGAGCACAATTAGGTGTAACTAGTATTAATTTAAATAGTGATTAGTATAACACCTAAGAATAAGATTGTAAAGAGTACCCGTAATAAAGGTTTATTATATTTTATTTTATATTAGGTTAGGCCGCGTGGATTAGGTTTATTAGATAATATGTAATTTTAGATAGATTTAATCTTGTAAATGTTAGATCAATAAAAAAAAAACATACAAAAATAATAAATAAATTGTTGAGCATTAAAAAAAATTATATTATAATGGAGCGATGTTTATATAGAAGTCTATATATATGGGGTCATCCTATATTGAAAATGGAAATTAATAAATATTTTGAACAGTAACTGATAACATCAACGACTACAATGCGTTGTAATGCCACCTCAAGAGAAAATGTTCACAATATGTCAAATGTCAAAATACACCATGGTCATTTTAATGCATCCATTGCTTCTATTTATAATGGATCTGCGCGTAATTAATACAACTTTCATTAAATGCACACTTAATTTTCATGGGTGGGAGACGAATCCAAGTCACACGGCGTCAATCAATCGTCCATAAATGAATCACCTAACGCGCCAATCATGTCTAAATGTGTTGCCATCGATCCTTACATCGTCTCGCTCGGTAGCTGAAGCCGGTGGAAATTGAATTAAATACTTACGAGGAGCTTTTCCAACAGGCTGTCTGCATCTGTAAATGGTAAAATGAATTGAAGGCGTTGTAAACGTAGCATTTTACCGTTCCTTCCAAGCACTTCGAAAGGATCTGAGCCGTTCTGGAAAAAGAAAAAAAAAACGTGTGGTGTACTGGATCGTAATATGACACTATAAGTACAGATGCGGTGCTTCATGTAGGCAATCGGATAATTACGAATATTCACTTAGTAGGGATGGGCAGGCACAAAAAATATATCGATATTTACCCTATACACATTTTAAACAGAGAAATTGATATAAAGTCCGTTGAATGAACATCCATTGTTTTGTGGATGGGAGTCGAATCCAATTCTCGTGCCATTAGTCATTCGCTCAGTACCACCGTTGTCCATACATATCATCTACCATGCTATTCATTTCTAAATGAGGTTTTTTTTAGGGGAAATGTTGTCAAGTGAGCTGACGGTTCACCTGATGCTAAGTGAATACCGCAGCCCATGGACATCTGCTTTACCCGAGGGTTCCGTATGCGATGCGTTGACAAACTATTGAAAATTGGCCTCCGGCCACCACACTCACCAGACGAAACGCGAAAGTATTATACTTTCACTTTACACCGGTCTTCTGTGAGGTCGTGGTACTTACCCGGACGAGGATGTCTATTCGTGCAACAGCCGAGGCTGCTGCGTGGCCCTACCACCTCACAAGTGTTGGTAAGTGTTATAATCTTACGCTTAACAGGTCTAACTATCTGGCTGTATATAAATATTTATAACCGTACTACAAAACATTATGAAGAATCTGAAATGGAAAACAAAGGCATATAAATACAAAAACTGATATTTTTTTAAGAAATCTAAGATTCGAAGATGATATTGTGCTCTTTGCAGAAAGTGCATCAAAACTAGAAGCTATGGTAAAAGAATTACAAGCGGTTAGCCAGGAAATTGGATTGCAAGTGAACACAACAAAAACAAAAATAATGACAAACAATTAAAAAATCCCCATAAACTTCGACAACGGTCCTCTGGACTATGTTGAAGGGTACATTTATCTAGGCAAGCAAATATCCTTCAAAAGATCCAGAACACCGAGATGAACTGACTAGACGTGTGAACATGGCCTGGAACAAATTTTGGGGTCTTAAAGAAGTTCTTAAGTCAAAGATTCCTGTAAGACTGAAGAAAAGAGTCCTAGACTCGTTTGTACTACCTTCTCTTTCTAATCGACCACAAACATAGATATTCAACAGACATACTAGTTATTACTACATACACCAAATACAAACCACCCAAAGCGCCATGGAGCGGAGCTCTCTAAACATAAAATTGAAACATAAAAGGACAAATGTACATGTGAGAAATCAACTAAAGTTATAGATGCTCTACAACACTGTAAAAACTTAAATGGAAATAGACTGGCCATGTTGCACGTATGAACAATACTAGATAGAGAAAAAAGATAACCCCTTGGAAAGGGCCATCAGGAAAGAGAAAAAGAGGTAGACTAATGCAGAGGTGGCTTGACGAAATACTGAAAACAGCGGGGAATGACTTGATGTAAATAACAAAATATAAAGATAAGTGGAGAGAAATGGTGGAGGGTTATTAATAGTGATATGTTTTGCATATAAAAATGAAATTAATTTAATTTAAAATTTTAATATAAATTATTAGCCTATACATGTCCCACAGCTGGGCAAAGGCCTCCTCTATACAGAGGGTATCAGGGCATAGTCCACCGAGAGGCCCCACTACGGATTTGCGGACTTCACATATATTCAAAATGTTATTACTTCGAAAATATGCAGGTTTCCTCACGATGTTTTCCTTCACCGCAGAGCACGTGATAACCGGCACCGAAGATCGAACTCAGGTTGCTGTAGCAAAACAGCTATCACGGCTTATTAAATATCAAATTATGTAAATTTTAAGCTATCATGTTATGATGATATGATATTTAGAGGATATCAAGTCTCAAACTTATATAAACCTATAGTTTCAATGATAAGAATTCCTGAATAACCTACATATATTGTAAGATAATAAAAATGTTTTAAACTATATTAACTTCTCATTTATTCAATAAAAGAAAAAAAAAAATTTTTTCTTATCGGTCACCACGCTCAAAAGTGCCACAGGGTTTTTTTATTAAGGAATAAACAAGGCTTTATTATGATAATTATATTATATAACGTTGCTAAATATATCTTGGATTTTTGTTATGTGAAAGTTGTTGAGCGGACGGGCGATTGCGGGCGATACGTTAAGTGATTACCGCTGCTCAAAGACATCTACAACCCCCAAGGCAGATGCATTAACAACCCTTAAAAGAGGGCCACCTCACTCACCAGATTACAGTATCATAATTCAACTTCGCGCTGGTCTTCAGTGAGGCCGTGGTACACCAAGGACGCGCCTGCACATTCGTTGCGTGACGAGTAACTAAGACGTACAACTTGCAAGACGAAACGCGAAAGTGGAATTCCACTTCAGAACATTCATTTGTCGCCCGTGGCACTAACATGGACGATTTTTTTTTATTATGTGAAAAGTTGTCAAACGAGCAGATGGTTCACCTGATGGTAACTGAACACCGCCGCCCATGGACATCTGCTACACCCGAGGGTTACGGATGCGTTGACAACCTTTTGAAAATTGGGCTCCGGCTACCTCACTCACCAGACATTAGTGTTACACCACAAATTAGTTAAGCAGATGTTAAATGTTACACTGCACAATGTGTTTCATCTGTCAGGCTGCAAAACTTGCCAGAAAAGCCGGAGTAAATTAAAAAAATTACATCTTTGCACCATAAATGTAGAGAAAGCTATAGACATTGGCTTTTTCTTTTTCCAGAAATATGTAAAAAAACGTAGTAAAGCAGATGTTAAATATTGCAGTGCACAATGTGTTACGGGAAAATTAAAACTTTACCATCACTGGTTGGCATGCCGGAAGTGAGCACCACGTAGGTCTGAAAAACGAAAAGGTTGGTGCTAATGAGGAATATTTCCCGTGAACAGCGAATAGATGACTAACTGGAACTGATAGTTTACAGAAAGAATGAAATGAATGTGTATTTGACGCGATACATTAAAGGATAAAAGAAAATAAGGAACAAGAATAACAGTTGCAGCTCAGTTTACAGTCGCGGCAGTAATTACTGCTTATTTTCTGCGGATGCCTTATAAACAGATTATGTTAACTACAGCAAATGAAAATGGTTAAATAAGAACACTTACAAAGTTCTGAGTAATTTCAATAATAATAATAAAAAATAATAATAAAATATCTTTATTCACATAGACGCTTGCGCGTTCTTATGAAACGTCAAAATTTTACAAGAAATTAACACGTTCGTAAGTTACCACCGGTTCGGAAAGCAGTTTCTGTTGAGAAGAAGCCGGCAAGAAACTCAACAGTTGCTCTTTTTAAAAAAATCAGTTTACAATATAATAGTACAGGTACAATAGTCTTGTTTTAGCCTACGTGAGTATCAACAGTATTAACCCCACACATTGGCGTCGTCAAGATATTCGGCAATAGTATAATAGGCTTTAGCCATAAGTGTACTTTTAATTTTTCGTTTAAATTCATCAAGTGGCAGACTTAACATCGACTGTGGGATTTTATTATACATGCGCACACTTTGCCCCATGAACGATCTGTTTACTTTTTGTAGGCGAAATAATGGCGTAGTTAGTTTGTCCTTATTTCTAGTATTTAGTTTATGTCTGTCACTATTCTTTTGATAATTATTAATATTCTGTTTAACATACAAAATATTACAATAAATATATTGAGACGCAACAGTGAGTATATTAATCTCTTTAAAAAGATCTCTGAGTGTATTCCGGGCTCCGATGTTATAAATTGCTCGGACAGCTCTTTTTTGAATAATAAATATTGAATTTATATCAGATGCACTACCCCACAATGCCGTACGACAAGATGCTGTGAAAATAACTGTAGTAAACAAGTCTGGCAGTGTCGATGTCTGATAGCTGCCTAACCTTCCTAATTGCAAAAACAGCGGAGCTTAATAGAATGTTAAGGTAAGGTTATTCTTTAATTTTTCTTTGGAAGAAATTATGGCAAATGTTCAGCACATTGAGGGACGCGTATTGCAATTAAAATAAATTTTAAACAATAGAGAAAAACTACTAATCAATTAACCAGCGACCTGAGAATACTACTTGTTGGTTAATTCATTAGTGATTTTTCTCTATCGTTTAAAATTATTTTTAATGGCAATATGCGCCCGTCAATTTCCTGAACATTTGCCGTTTGTTATACTAACAATACTATTAGTAACTCACCGTCACAAAACACACGATGAGTAGCTTTTGTAACTTGACTGCGGCCATTTAGAAATATCGTGGAGTTTGTTCGCGTCAGAACTCTCGAAATGCACAACAAGTGAGTTGGTTTAATTTATATACGGGCCATAGAGTACACAATCGGAGTTTGAGCGTGTTTCCTCTTTTACCTATCGAAAATTACGTAACTTTTATAGAAATAATTCGCGCGATAAGACGAAAGAAATATGTAATATTTCGTCAACCACACCGCAGTTGAATTATTTTGGTAATAATGATGTACTTGTTATTTTATATCATATCTATGTAAACCATTGCTAGTTACAAAATACAAATGAGTTACTATAAAATAACATGTGTTAGGGCCACGCAGCAGCCTCGGCTGTTGCACGAATGGGCAGGCTCGTCCGGGTAAGTACCACGACCTCACAGAGGACCGGCGTAAAGTGGAAGTTATTTTATGTGCTCGTCGTTTTAGTGACGAGTTACGATCTAATTTAGAAATTAGAAAAGTGAACACGACTTTAAAATATGGCACTTCAATGTCGAATATTTCCTACCAATCCTGCCGAATTTCTTTTTTAAAATTTACTCTTTGCCAACAAACAAGTTAGTTTCAGCCTTTTGTTGTATTAGTAATATGGAACATGTGATAAAGGTGAATGAATTCAAGAATTGATAACATAATATATATATTCAATTAGATCGACAAGTCGCACAGAACGTATGTCCACAAAAAACAAAATAAAGGAGATAAAAAGGCAACTATTTTAATAAACCACCAAAGAAGTATAGAAGGACTTAAAAACGTTTAAATAATTAAGTTTAAATAAAAGATGGATACCGAAATTAGATACTAAAACGAAAGAAACAAATTCCAGAAAGGTATGTTAGACCAGGTTACCACTTTCTTTATTAGAGACATGATACGTTAACATTTCTACAATATCTGTGATTAGAGAGAATGACATTGAAAAAATAATAAATTATATTCCTAACACAGATAATTTATTAAGAAATGCAAAAAACCCAGGACCTAATGGGATAAGTAATGAAATGCTCAAACACTATTTCATGCTAGAAACAGAATCTGTATCAGATTAATGGTATTCATCTGACAACATACTCCTCTGTAAAAAAGGCAATCCTCTTGATACCCATTCCGAAACATCTGGAGAACCTGAAACTGTGATGTACTGGCCGGATGAGGAAAGTGCTAGAGTCGAACTAGGGATGTACGCTGCGGAAATAAAAATAATCTTTAATAAAATAAAAGAAATTTTAAAAGGTGTGTGATCGATACTTGTCGTATAAAAAAAACCGTCTTCTGCCTAGCTTATTGTACGGCTGCCAGATATTGAGATAGAAGGAAAAATTAAAGACAACACAAAGATTAATGAAGAGAAGTGTGCTGTTTGTAGTTGTATGAATCAGGAAAACATGGAAACGCCGGAGATAACATGCTGAAGCGACTCCCTGGGATAGCGACCAGATCGATAGATGTGGACGGTGCCATCCCTTAGGATGTATTTTCCGATAGTTGTTCGTCTTAATAACGTTATTCCTTAATCCTTATTATTACTATTTAATTAGAGACAGTACCTGGAGGACCGAGCTTTGGTCGGTTTTTTTTGCAAATTATTTATTTTGGAAATAAAAAAAATAAAAAATAAAGAAAATGATCTGGTATAGAAAAAAAATAAAAAAAAATAAGTGTGTAAATGATCGTGATACGAACCACGGCCGTCTGTTTGGGGCCGCCCGATTACCGACCGAGCTATTATAACATTTTATTTTGCGGCGAAATTTACTGTCATATCCGAATGATATTTATCATTCCCTGAAAACAGGGATAAAAGGACATTTTCAAAAATAAAACCTAGCTAGATCGATTTTTCGCCCCCGAATCTACGCACATACTAAATTTCATGAAAATCGCTGGAGCCGTTTCCGAGATTCCGATTATATATATGTAGGATTAATTATTTAATAGTTGAGTAAAAGATGATTTTTGAACGAAGTATTGTGTGAATGAGAAGGATGGATGAAGTAAAAGGGATTGAGGGACTTTTCGCAACGACGCCACGAACGAGTAACGTGTATCTGTGTCTTAAAATGTATTAATTTAAATAAAGATGAAAATAGTAACAATATACTCAAAATAAAGATTTTATTTATCCTACGCCTACAAAATTCTCGTCCGGGATAACGGGCTTAAAGTGATTTTTGGGTATTTTAATAACGAGAGAAAGTGATCACGTACGCCAGCCGCCATTACATGTTACAAAGGAAGCGTATTAATTGTCACTTTAAAATAACGACGATAATATTTACGACGGTTAAAGATGATGGAGAGCAATAACGACGATGGTAAATATAATCCATTCTTCCTGATGGATTCCCTACCTAAGTTTACGGGGGATGATATGACGTATTCCTCTGCAAAATGGACGCAGGATATTGAAGACAACGCAGATATTTTCGGATGGAACCAACTACAACGGCTAATTATCGCGCGGAGGTGCATGGCTGGTACTGCACAATTATGGCTGAAGACGGAAAAAAGCATTTAAAACTTATGATGAATTTAGAACGGCTCTGATGAAGGAGTTTCCTGATACTATAAATTCCAAACAAATGCATGAAATGATGAGTAATCGGAAAAAAAAAGCAGGCTAATGAAACGGTTTATCAATACATGCTTGTCATGAAAGAATTGGGAAAAAAGGGCTAAGTTTGCAGACTACGTCACCATACAGTATATAGTCGATGGCATAAACGACTACGAATCAAACAAATTATTATTCTATGGTGTTACATCCTATTCAGTGCTCAAGGAGAAAATAGCATTGTATGAAAGTTACAAACAGAAAACCAAGAAGAGTACTATAAGCAAAAGAGAAGTAACAGTAATGAAGCCGATGGCACAACGGGAAACTGGAGGACAGACATTTCAACGTTGTTACAAGTGCGGTGAGAAAGGGCATCTGTCGAGTTCCTGTCAAAGAAGTGTAAAATGTTTTAGGTGTAATGAGTTCGGTCACATAGGCGCAGAATGTAAGAAAACGGAACCTGTAATAACACAAATGCATGCAAAGCGGGATCGACGATCGATGTTCATTCAATATCCCACGCTGACATCAGAGGGCGCTAGTTCCGCTAACGTGGACGTGAATGAAGAAGGTGAACGTGAACGAAATGTAATGAGTTGCGATCCGAAGGAAAGAGCGAGTGCCTGTTCATTTTAAATTAACATTTCTTTAATATTATTAATACCTGATGTAGCATTCCGGTGTTTTTAGTTTCGTCGGTTCAAAATAATAGTTATAAATACAAATATGTCGAAAATACTCGAACTCCGCCTCTCTCGGGTCCCGTGGTATTGGCTTCGGCGTATGGGGTCGTGGGCTCGATTCCCACACGGGACGACTATTTGCGCGACCCACAGATAGTTGTTTCGCATCTGGGTATTTGTCCACGTGAAATTTATGTTTGTAAAACGTCTTTACACAGGATGATGTTATCCTAAAGTAAGGGCAATGTTTTTAAGAAAGAAAGATACACTGTGTACAAAGGAGGCCTTTGAACAACAAGACATGTATGGGCATTACTTTTCGTACAAGACGTACGAAAAGTAATGCCCAATCAATGTGTGTTGCCAGCGATGATCTACGGAACCGAGACGTGGTCCTTCACTGCTGGCCGTATGAGGAAGCTCAAAGTCGCTCAGCGTGCTATGGAGCGGGCTATGCTCGGTATTTCTCCGTGTGATAGAGTTCGTGACGAAGACATCCGCAGTAGGACTCACATGGCAGGCATTTTTTTTATGTGAGGAAGTGACAAACGAGCTGGCGGTTCACCTGATGTTATAACCGCCTGCCCATGGACATTTGAAACACCCGTAAGGTTACAGATGCGTGGCCACCTGTTCATAATGTGGGCTTATCGTGTAATCTTAATAACGTGGGACATAGATTTGCAAAATTCTTTTTATTTTGGAAAGGATATCAGTCCGAAATGGTGCCATTTAAATCTCATACCGATCCGATGTTGGGTTTCGGAGATAGGCGACGCAACTCTTCAAATAATAACAGCGAACCAACCGCGATTGCTGCCATCGCATAAATATGCTTTGCTTTGCGCAATCACACAATATAACATCACGTTTTTACACTCGTAAAGAGCAGATGTATTCAGTGTAAATGAAAACGCGACAACAGCGTATGCACACAATTCAGCAGCAGCAGCTCAGCTATTATGTATGCATTGTTAGCGTGTACTCGTCTGACTGTGGGATATCATTTTTTTTATGTGAAAAGTTGCCAAGCGAGCAGACGGTTCACCTGATGTTAAGTGAAAACCGTGGACATCTGCCACACCCGAGGGTTACAGATGCGTTGACAACCTTTTGAAAATTGGGCTCATCAACAGTATTACTTGACGTTCTCAATGCAATTCAAGTTGAGACGCTGTCAATTCTCCAACGCAATCGATGGCCTTTGTAAATAAACTTATGGCTAGACCAGTGCGAATTAAACTTGACGATTATTGTGATTTTTGCACGAGATTGGATGACCATCGCTGAAGATAGAAGAAGAAAAAAAAATGTGTGCGTGTAATAGCGTACACTCGTAAGAAGTGAAACTTTTTTATGACGTTATTTTTCAAAAAATTATTTACTATATGCAACTTTACAGAAATTGGTTAAATAAAGTTAAATTAGATAAAGTTTAATAAAATGCTTTTATTATCATAGACATAAATACAAATTCTACAATTATTTAATTTTAGCTTTGTATAATATTTAGTTTCTTATTTGTAATACATAGGTGGCGTTAGTAGTAAATTAAAACACACTATGTTTGACCGTTGTAATTAGTATGAGGGTCCGCAAAAATTGTTGATTAAAAAACTTGCAACGTGAACCTTGTTTATTTCAATTAACCTCACGGACCCAAATACAACCGCTTTGAATTTGTACATGGTCCTTCGTTGCCGAATAGTCAGCCAGTGAGTAGAAGCCAGACATTCGACTCGCGCGCGAGTGT